TAGTTTTCATTCACGGTTTGACTACAGAATAGTAGTAAAAAAAACAAAACAGAACAATTCTTCTGTTGCAAAGAACTGAGAAAGACTGCAAGAGGGTACACTGTTCAAACACTATGGATTGCTATATGAAAACTGGATGCGTCTTGTGAATCATGTTTGACACCTAACAATAGGGCTGCGCAAAGCTTCAGTCCCCGATTTGATTTGGCAGAGATTCGGCTCAATTTGGTGGCTGAATCTCCGAATCCAAATCGAATCAGAGGACCCTTTAATCTTTCTGAATCGCTTTGGAGAGATTCGGACATAGACACAGCTTTAAATGTTTTTTCTACATACCTCTAGGTAGCAGGGGCTTGTGACTGCTGCAATGCTGGGGTGCATGGAGTGTCCCACAGAAACATGGGGCTCCCCACTGCACTCAGCAGCAGATCTGGAAGTGGACCAGAAGCACTTCCAGCCCACTTCCAGGACTGCCAGGGAGCATGCTGGGGGCATCCAGAAGGCATAAGCTAGTCAACTCTTTAAAGGCCCAATGGCTCAATGAAAAACATCAGAGCATCATCATAGATTCATAGAATCTAAATGCTAACATAAAAAGATAAATATAGAATAATAAATATTAGATATGCCACATACCCATGCAGCCACAGTGGGGAAAAACCTTCTCAACACTAGCAGGTTGGGTCCTCTGGGGGTGTGAAGTGGCATAGTTCCACTAAAATCAAGAGGGTTAGGGGGGGCTGTTGAAACTAAGGATCATAGTACCAGGCCATTGCCTACTATACCAGGCACCTCAAGGAGCATCAAGCACATGCAGCATTCAAACCCTTGCATTGCTGAAGGACCTTTGACTTGACTTTTGTCTTTCCTGATATTTTGGCTACTTGTATTTATTTATTACTCTGACGTTCATCTTTCCACATTAAAGACTAAATGCAAAAAGCTTCTCTAATTGTCTTCTAAAACAGAGGGAAGCATGAAGGTCCCCCTGGAACTAGACTGCTCCAAGGACAGGAGTTCTGTGGTGCAGGGTGCAAGGACTCTACAATTGCTTTGCAGAGAACAGCCCAGCTGGGCTCCTTGGTGTTCCAGATTCCCGAGGGCAGGGCCAGCAGATTCATGCCATTACACCACTGCATTGGACTCTAGGCACCCCTCCATAACATTTGTTATTTGAGTGGCCCCCAATTTCAAAAACGAATGCGAATGATAGAACTAACAAAGTTTATTTGTGTAGCGGTAGGCAACCTCTAGATATTTTGTCTCTCTCACACTAACTAGCTACTTAATTAAGGGGCCATCTCCCAGTTACCAACTTCCCTTTAGTTAGAGAGCATCTTTAAATTACAACTTCTTTCACTACACTTGCCTCCTTGCAGAGGTGGTAGGCAGTGTGAGTGAGGGACTGGTCAGGCAAGGACAAGCCTGTGCCTGCACTTATCTGCTTCACGGCACTCTTCAAAGGACCCGGCAGCACTCTGGTTTAGAATTACTGTTACACTCACCAGCAACATTGTGGATGTGCTTATTTCAATGCTTCAGGTTTCAGAGTGCAATGGTGTTGAGATCTCTGCTGAGACAGCAGCACAGCCGACAGCCAAAAGGCTTACTTTCCCTCACAGCTCAAATGGCCAAAAGGGTTTGTCTTGGCTTTGCCCCCAAAATATTATTAATGGTTCTGTCCCCCGCCCAAAATGTTTCAACTAGTTGCAAGCATAAGCATCTACAGCCAACCCAACACTGGGGAGAGCATATGTGTGTGTTCATGCATATGTACACCTGTATTTGTGAACACGAGCAAGATAAAGGGCTCAGATACTTCTGTAAATACCTGGGGTACTGGCATCTCAGTCTGAGGGAACCGGGTATATGGTCACCACCTACTTACAGCCCGCTACTAGAACTCCCCTTCAGCCTGAGTTGTCATTTGAGCTGTGCCCATAAAAGTCTTTTTTCTGCTCTTCTCCCCCCTCATACTAACAGGCCAGCCACTGACACACGTATCATTATTTGCTAACCTTGTTCAGCAAAGTGACAAACACAAACCAAAAATTAATGAGATATCTTTAAAAAGAAGGATACTATTTTGGGCTCTTGATTTATAAATTGCCAACAGGTGTTGCCAACTGTGATAAATTCATCTATTTCATATTATGGTAATTTTGATCTTTCTACAGTTCTGACTACCTAGCAGCACAGAGATTCCAGCTTCTTCCCAAACCCTGACATGATTTCCATTTTCTGTATCCTCACTTTTCCTCAATTACTCATGGCTAGCAATTAAATATAGGAAACGGCAGCAGAAAGGACCTCCTGCATCAGGGCTGACCAACAGGCAGCCTGTGGCCCCTGAAGGATTAAACCTGAGGCCCCTGGTCTAGGTGCAGCTCCCTCCACCACCTCCTACTAGAGAGTCTCCAAGCTCCCCCTGCCTCCTCTGGCTTCCAGTGCACAGGTGGACTGAGGGAACCCACAGCTGGGTGGCTCGGGCACTTGGGAGCCCATATAGCATGGCATGGGGGCAGCAGCATGGGGCAGGGCGAGTGCCAACCACATGGCATGGGAGAGGGAGGGGAACATATGACAAAATGTAACTCAGGGTGCAGCTGGCACTGTACAGCAGGGGTGGGGTAGAGTCTGAACAGTGCTGCATGTGGCCTATAGCAATGTTTCCCAATCTTTTCTAGCCCAAGGCACACTTACATTAACTAAAATTTTCCATGGCACACCTGTTAAGGCATTCCCCCTCCTCATACTTGTTGTAGCTCATTGCCATTGCAAAATTCTGCGGCACACCTGTTAATTTCTGATGGCCCACTTTTGTGCCACGGCACACTGGTTGGGAAACACTGGTCTACAGTGCATGCAGCACAAGGGAGTATGGCCCAGACCACCCAGAAGCTGAACAGCCCTGTCCTCCATCATCAAATCCAGTCCCTTGATACTGCAGGAAACTAAACTATATAATCCCTTCCATAAACTGGTCCAGCTTCATCTTAAAACTAGTTACCAGTACATTTATTGCCTCATTATTCCAACTGGATGGCTGTTCCAGAATCTCACTGCTTTGATGGCTAGAAACCTTCCAATTTCAAGGAAAAAAAATTATTTACATAAAACATGTACAGTACCCATTTATTATTGTACTAGTATTTTACTTTACCTTAAATAGCTCATCATCTTCCCTAGTGGTTATCCCTCCACCCCTCCCCAATATATTTAAAGACGGCAAATCATAACCCCCTCTCCCTTTCAAGCAGGGGTGACAGGTGCCTCCTGAGTCTTGGGGGGGCACAATTTGTGGGTGGGCTCAGGGGCAGGTCAAAAGCCCCATATCCACTCCTATACTTCTGTGCCACAGCTTAGTGCACCCCCCTCCCCCAGCCCCCCCAACACACTGCTAGCTCACGTGGCAAAAAAACTTCCCCGGCCTGAGTGGTGCCAAGTCGGGGGCCAATCGCAGGGGGGGCACATGCCCCCCCCCCCCATACCCCTCCTACCAGTCACCTGTGCTTTCAAACCTTCATTTTGATACACTAAAAGAGCTTGGCTTCTTTAGTCTCCTCTTTAAAATAAACTCTCCATTCCTCAGATCATCCTACTAGCCTTTTCTATATAACTTATCTTTTTTGAATGTGGGTGATCAGAACTGTATCTAGTATTCCAGATGAAGTTTTACCAGTGACTTGGACAACACATACACCTCTCATCACCATTTGAAAAGCTTCATTTAATAAATCTTAAGTTTGTATTAGGCCCCCAATTTGTAACCAACATTCTTGTTATTACTGCCCAAGTACATGACATCGTACTTTCTACTATTAAAATCCATCCCATTTCTATTACTTTAGTCCTCAATGTCATCCAGTTCCTCCTGTATTATATTCCAATCTTCCTTTATATTATGTCTCCCATTTTTGTGTTACCATCAAATTGAACTATCACATACTTATCTTTTACCAATACAAACATTTAATATGCTTGCTCCCAAGACATATCGTTGAATAAGAAATCCATTAGTAGACTCCCAGCTGGACAGTTTTCCCTTAAGCCAATTCCTTACTTAACATTTTTCTATTACTTCCTATCTTTTACTGTTAAATTCATTTTTCCATGTGGTATCAAATATTTTCATTGAAGTCCATATAAATTAAATCAACCACATTACTGCTAACCAGAAAACCAGTCAACTTACCCCTCCCCCCCCACAACAAAAAGAAAAGAAAAAAAAGAAATATCAGGTTTATGTGCTACCTGTAGGAATCTACATAAAGCCTTGAATAATGCTGAGGTCAGAATAACAGGACTATAATTTGGTATTACACGTGCTGCTATCCAAACATATGATATCACCTTCAGTTTAGCAGACTTATTAAAAAACTTGACGAATGGACTGTGATTTTGTGTGTCATTTCTTTCAGTATTTGAGGACTGAGCATTTGTTCAATAAATGTCAAAATTCACTTCCATATCAGCTATGGTGATGTTTTCCTATCCATATTTTCATTTGCTATTCTACCTTTGCCATCAAGTTTTATATCAGTCTCTTTATTGCCTAGCCATACCTTTGCCCTCAGTCTCTAGAGACTGGAAGAAAAAAAATCACTGAAGATCACTTAAGCTTCTGCTTCTCACATGCATTTTTCTCAGCTCCATGTAATTAGCCTTTATAAGTTTCTGCAGCAATATGGTAGTTAATTATTTGTCTTGACATGTAGGGCAATCGCTGAATTTCCCAGCCCTGCTCTGGCTGGCAGACAGCACACTCCTCTGTGCTCTGCCAAGACTTCCCTATATTCTGATCTGTTTGCTGACTTCTTGGTTTTAGGCTTCTTTGGCTGCTGGCTGCTTGGCTTTAAGTCTTTTGCTAGGTCAACTATGCTTCCTCATTTTGGCTCAATGGTTAACTCTCTGTCAGAGATCAAGAACAGAACACCCTCAGACAGGCCTCCATCTCAAATACAACACAGCTCACAAGCGGAGTCTATTGTCTGCAAGTTGCAACCAAACCTGCAAGCAGAAAGAACGACACGTTCACTTACCCCTAAGGAAGAACTCAAACAAATCCCGGGCCCACAGCCTCACTCTTACTTCTTCTCATGCTCCAGGAGCCCTTGGTACTATGCAATCCAGGCCTGGTGCAGTTGGGGGAAGTGGAGCAAGAAATGACAGACCCATTGCTCAAATGAGGGGAGTGAAGAAGGCAGACAAGATTCTTTGGGTAAATCTGGTATCTTTATTAGACCAACTTAAATAGTTGGAAAAAGTCTTTTTTGCAAGCTTTCAGGTATAAATCCCCTCCTCAGGCTGGGCACACTGTCCCATTGCTCACAGGAGGGGTAGAGGAGGAAATGGCAGTGTGAGCTGCTAGGCACTGCCTACTCCCTGTCTCATCTTTCCTAGCAAGAGCAGCATGGGCTGTTCCTTTTCTTCTCCTTTCCAGAAAGGTTTTTTAAGCGCTTGAGGGAAGATGACTGGATGCCTGTGTCCCACGCATCCCTGACTTGGCTGCCTCTCATGCCTTCTGAGGGGAAGGAGTCTTTTCCCTCAAGGAGAGCTAAACTATGAGACTACAGCTTCTCTTGTGGTCAGACGGGCTCTATCTGGACCCAGTCCTGTCATTTGTGTTGAGATTATGAACAATAGCAGCAGCAGAAATTAAAACAAAAAGCTTGTTTTGCCAAGCTAATGTTAGCAAAACTCCAACCTTCAGTGCAATTTATATCCTCTGGGCTTTGTCTTCCTTCTGAGATCCAGAATACTTTCTTTGCTAATTTTGAGGAAGTGAGTTCCCTGTTGATCTGCAGTCATAGAGTATTAATAGCACTGAGAGCAGTAACCATCATACTAAGAGTTGTTCACTGCCTAGGCCAGTGTTTCCCAAACTTTTGATACGTGAGGCACATTTTCTGGATTAATATTGGCAGTATGCTTTACTCCTACACATGCTGCATATATACATATATGTATTGCCCCCTCCCCCCCGCCAAAAAAACCCAAAATGTAGCATATTCTATTCCCCTGCCAGAGAAAGTCATAAAAGTGCTGATATGTACTGTTAAAAAGGAAAAAGCAACAAATTAATCTTTACATCAGTGGTTCTCAGCCTTTTTAGCTTTTCAAGCTAAATTTTTTTAGCCTAGCCTAGTCTCTACCCCAGGTGTAGCTTTTTGCAAGCTTGAGTGAGAAGAAAGTTACATTTCTTCTTTACTTACCCTTTATTTGAACAGCTTTACTACTAAAGAGTCTTTGACGTGGAAGCTGAAATGACAAAAAGGAGCAGGTTTGGTAAAGAACAGTTTTGCTCTCGCCAAGTTATGAGGCTTTAAAAATGCTGCGCACACAGTTCATTTTACATACAATTTTTCATTTAATCTCAGGAAGATAAACCACGTGTGCATGACCTTCATTTATTGGGAATCTTTACTGTTATTTCCAATACATGACTATGTTGCTTCATTTACAGCACCTCCTCTAATTCCTGTACATAAATTATAAGCAAAGGCTCTTGGGAGCTTCATTGAAATAGTTCCATAGGTTATAAAACAAATAGTCAATTGTGTGCTTAATGAATATTTACAATTCAAAAAAGAATCTGTAGACCAAGAATTGTGTACTAAAGAACTTGGCAAATTGATTTGAGAATCGTATGACTGCTTCCCCACAAAGAATTGCTGAATGACAACAATGCTTGTTGAATAAATTCTTTATTGCAAATTCTTTGTTTCATATTATGCAAGAGCCCTAATGACTGACAGGTTAAATGTTTTCTTGATTAAAAAATTTAATAGCAATTTGTGTTTTACTCTCGTGTATCGTGATGATGATCCTGCAGTGGGTGACAGATCTGTCTCTCTCAGCTCTTCAGTACTGAACAAAACAATAGCAGAACAAGTTTCTATAAGACTTTCTTTACAGTGCACATAATATCAGTGAACTGCCACAATAAAGAGAACTGCAAGAGGCACAATGAAATTATTACAAAGCATCTTGAAAACATACAAAAGCAAGTTATTTGTTACAAAATGTGTGATTAACTGGTCTTGCTTTACACATCTTGTGGTAATAAGTGCCACAATTTAACAAAGTTTAAAAGACGATTAGACAAATTCATGTATTGGCCCATCAGTAGGCATCAAACATAAAGGCTACAACCTCCATCTTAGAATGTCCTGTGTCTCTGAATGCTGGAAGGGAACAGGCTTAAAGTACTGGTGCAGCATGATAGTCCATGAATTAAGGTTTTTTTGAAGATAACCTTTTATTGAGAGAGGTAGTTAACCATATTAGTGAGAAATAAAGTAGAAAGCAGGGTAGATTGGCATCCTGTATACCAAAGTAGGTATACATCTATATCAAGATATAATTTTGACTCTTAAAACTTTATTATACAAATGTTAAAAACAAATGATGAAAGTGTTAAGGTATGTGGCCTTCCTAGGGACCAAGTAGGAGACAAGTTAGCAACAAACAAACCACGTATCCATCATGTCGTCGGAGATTGAAACCCCCTCCCCAATGCCCCTCATGGGGATACACATGAAGGACCAGCCATCCATCTTCTACTTCACCAAGGGGCCCCCTCAGTGGCTCAGGATACATCAGGACGCACTCCTGAACCCCCTGGAGCTCAGGGACCAAGCACCAGCTCAGCCCTCCACCAGGCCACAACTCATGCAGGAAGGCAGAGTGGCAAGGAAAGGGGCCCCACCAGAAAAGGCCTCCTACTGTTGGCCCAGGGCTCTTGGCCCTTGATTGGATCCTCCCACCTATATAAAGCTTCCTGTTTCCTGGAGAAGCTGTCCAGATTGGAAGGCTCCTGCCATCCTTGGACTAGTCTGTTGTTTTTGTGTTGTTGCTGAACCTGCTCAGACTCTGATCTTCACCTCGTGTCTCGGATTGTTGGACTCGGTTCTCACAGGTTTCTGACCTGGCTTGCTCCCTGACCTTGCAGTTGCAAGTGCTGGCTTCTGGGAGTGTTTCCTACAGGACTTTGCAGGCATGAATATCGTTTGGATCCAAGGATAAAAGACCCAAATTGAAGGCTCTTGCCCTTTCTTGCAGTTCACTGGGATCCAGGAGAGGGGTGGCATCCTCTGCTTGAAGGCAAGTGATGTACTTCTTGGCACCTCTACTCACCTCCACAGCATAGAAGTGGGAGCTGCAGTCCATCTCCCAGAGGACCTAGATCAGGGATTGGACAAATACAAGGCAGATGCATCTGTCACCCCCCACCTCTCCCTATACTCTCAGCAGCAGTGTTCCCTCTAAGCTGCACGACTGTGCAGGCATCCCTGACTGCAGCATGAGCGCGCCTGCACGGCCGTGCACAATACCTAGCTTAGAGGGAACGCTGCTCAGCAGAGGGATGGATTCTCTGGGTCAGTGGCAAGATGTCTTTCCAGCTTCAAGACCTGCATCTACAGCTGCTCCATGACCAGTTGTGTACCCTCAAGTGTGCCAGGTGTGCCCTCAGTCACAGGACAAGAGCCTCACATGAACCTTTTCCATATCCCACTATCTCCACAATGATGAGATACAGGACACTGGGCTAGAGTGATCCATTGTCTGATCCTATATGGCATTTATATTTTTATGCCAAATTGACAGTCCAGTAAACTGTTCCCCAAAGAATGCACAACAAAAGCAGCTGCAATATCTGTTTCCCTCATGCTGATTAGGCGCTCAGGGAATCTATACACATGCTCTGGGGTGGAGGGGTGGTGGTGCTTTAGAGAGGCTCTGAGAGCCATTCTAATTAAACCACCTGCAGTGTCATGTGTATTCAGTATCCCATGCTTCAAAATGGGGGTAGGGGTGCTTTAACTAAAGCTCGTTTGATAAGCTTTAGTTAAAGTACCCTTGCTGCCATTTTGAAACATGGTGACATTCAATACACGTGATGCAGAGATTGTTGGAGCACGCTAATCATTAATTAGGTCCTCCAATGGCACACTTGTCTGTATACAAATGCCAGAAGGTTGGGGAATAAATAGGAGGAACTGGTCCCTCTGCTAAAATGTATTGACTATGATCTTAAAGGGATAACGAAGACCTGGTGGGACTCCTCCTATGAATGGACCATGGGTATAGATGGCTATACCCTGTACAGGAGAGATTGTGCTGAAAAAAGGAGTGGGGGTGTAGCTCTCTATGTGAAGGAGCAGTACACTTCCCTACAAGCGGAGATTGGCACCCAAGGAGGAAGAATGGAGATCCTCTGGGTTAGAATACAAAGGGAACATGATGAAGGGGATACAATGGTAGGAGTCTACTACAGACCTCCAAATCAGGAACAAGAGCTTGACTATGAATTTGCTAGGGAACTGGCTGAGGCTGCATGCTCACGGTGTATGGTTGTCATGGGAGACTTAAACTACCCAGACATCTCATGGGAAGAGCACTCAGCCAAATCTGATTGGTCACAAAGCTTCTTCACATGCGTGAATGAGCTCTACCTATCTCAAGAAGTTTAGGGGACAACAAAAAGTAAAGCACTGCTGGACCTGGTACTGGCCAAAGGGGATGATCTAATCAGTGACTTGAGAATCGAAGGCAAGCTGGGAGACAGTGTCCATGAGTTGATCACTTTCACTATCAATTGCAAAGCTGACAAGTCAGTCAGCAATGCAGAAGTCCTTCGCTTTAGGAAAGCTGACTGTCATAAGCACAGAAGGCTTGCTGTTGAGGCCCTGAGAGAGGCCATGATTTGACAGGGAGGGGAGCTCACGATGAGTGGTCGCTCCTTAAGGAAGCGATCTAGAAGCACAAGGGAAGTCCATCCCAGCCTGTAGGAAAGGTAATAAAAGGGCTCAGCAACTCCCTTGGCTCAACGGTGAACTCATGGGCCTCCTATGTCTAAAAAAAGAAGTTTATAAAGGATGGAAGACAGGAAACACAACTAAGGAGTAGTATCCTGCACTGGTCCACACCTGTAGAGAGCGAACTAGGAAAGCCAAGGCTGCAACCTGTCGTGAATCAGAGCAGCCGCCGGCAGCTTGTCTGACTCACACACCGGAGTGTTTAGATTTAGAGCTCGGCAGGCGGGTAATTGATGGATGGAGTGGAATTAACCAGGCACAGACACGTGTAGGTTACAGGAGTTTGTTTACTTACGTCGCCTAGATAGTGATGACGACGCAGGCAAGCCTTTGTTCCGTTACAGCTTCGGTTATAGAGTTGAGTATACGCATATAACTTCGGTTACAGAGTCGAGTACACGCACGCAGTTAGGTTACAACGAGATAATGACGGACGTGGCGCCGGAACGAACGGTCGAGCTTGCAAGACTTTCTACGTCAATATTTTACGCTGACGGGGTGATTGATTAGGAATTGATCAATTTCCCAATTCTCTGGTGACAAGCACAGGTGTTTCCTGTGAGATCCCCAGAGCTCTCTGACTTGGGTGGAAACCGTTAAACTATTTATAGGCAGAGGTGTTTTACAGGAATATCCAATGGTGAACCGTTATATGGAATCTTTCATTTTTGGCAGGTGGCAGCTCTTTGTCTCCTCAAGTTACAAGGTAGTGGGTTAGGTTTCTCTACCTGTTACGTGTGTGCTACGTGTGAGGAGCTTACGTTTATCTTTGACCAATTATATATAGTTTCCCCTAGCATTTTATTTCAGCTGACCAATTATCTACAGTACTCTGGCCGCGTTTTGTTTCAAGGAATTTTTGGCAGGGATGTCTTTTAACCCTTAATCGTCAAAATGAGGATGATTTGAATGGTATCTCTTGCTCAGTGACATGGGCACAATTTAATTGGGTTGTGACACAACCAAACTCCAACTGGCTACACAAATCAAGGACAATAAGAAGTCCTTCTTCACATACATGGGAAGTTGGAAAAAAAACAAGGGCAACACTGGACTCCTGCTAAATCAAATGGGGCAGATGACAACTGACACCCAGGAAAAAGCCAATCTTCTTACTGATTACTTTGCATTGGTCTTTCACCAGCCTAAAGGGACCACCCTGCCTGACAAGATGCGGGATGACCAGGGTGAGAGTGAATCTATGCCTACCATTGGAGTAGATTTTGTGACGGAACACCTTGAGAGACTGGACACCCACAAATCAGCTGGTCCCGATTGATTACACCCAAGAGTGCTAAGAAACTGGCAGACATCATAGCATGGCCACTGGCAAGGATATCTGAGAACTTGTGGTGCTTGGGTGAAGTACCTGAAGATTGGAAGAGGGCCAATGTGATGCCTATCTTCAAGAAAGGGAAGAAGGAAGATCCAGGAAACTAC